TGACAGGGATACCATGTATAAATTAAGGCAAAACTAACACTGAAGTATACATTCACTAAATTAACTAAGACTTCATACACGAAATATTGAGATTACCAAACTGCAATATATTTTGAGGTGTCATTGCGAATTATTATCACGTATATTATTATTAAGCCTCCTTTCTTAGGAGAGGCCTATGTTCAGCAGTGGACTATTAGAGGCTGTTGTCTGTATTATTAAAACATTTTATTTTAAGACGTTGTCTATTTGCATTCAGCCATTAATGGTTTATTTTACATAATGGCAACATTTAACTTAAAATGGAAACGGTCATTGATTCAAGTATTAGTCAGATTTAATAAGATATAATTTCAAACCACAAGGGTTTGGAAATTAAAACTTACAAGGACTAATCTATAAAAGAAATTCAGGGTGGAAAAGTCACATGATATCGTTTTTTACATTTGACATAATGACGCGAACGATTAAAAGTGAAACCATGAATGGGCATTCTTTTTTGAGAGAAAATTGCACAAATAATCTGTTTTTGTTCATTTGTGTGTCATGATTAAATCATATGACAAATCATCGTACAATTGTAAATCATCTGTACCTACCTACCTATTACATATCTGTATTATTATACTTTTCACACATTATATTAACAAATGTAAAGATATCAAAACAAGTTATTTAATGATAACTTTACAACATTTCATTTTATCATTTCAAATCTACTATTATATACTTTTAAAAAAGGACGTCATAATAATCTGCTTTGTAAATAAATGTACAATAAACTTTAAAACTCAAATGATAAGAAAAAAACCTTCACAATACGAGTGATATGTATTGTTTAACAAGGTGGTGCCTGCAACGTCGTCTGTGTTAAATTGAAACCTACACTTAATTATATGCTTTATTTATATCCGCATGTTTCTATACTAACATTTTTAAGATTGATTTAACTGCTTAGGATTGAAATAGCAGACGGATAGACAATCAAAGTCCAATTACTGACATCGACTCCAAGAAGATTATAATTACTGAACATTTATATTAAATGAAATTGTGCAGTAATTAGCAATAACGCGCAACCGGCTCTAATTGTTAGGTTCATGAATTACAGTAAAGCTAAAACAGTGTTGTATCTATCTGTGGAATAGACTAACTACTCTATTCAAAATGTAACTGTGTCATTTTGCAAACTTAAACTCTAAAATGCGCACACAGACTACCAACTTCCATTTAATTAATGTAATAAATAACAACATTTATACGGTGTGTACGTTATTTAAAAATTCACAAAATAAATTTTTGGTTTAAACTACAACTTTTGGTTTAAACAATAAAACTATTATATTATTTGTAGGGATAAGAAAAAAAAATACTTCTTAGATTGACATTTTCTATTTCTATTATTAAGCCTTTATCTAGTATAAAGCCTTTCATCTATAATTAGGAAGAGTGGTATTTTATGTTTTTTTGCAATACATAACATTAAACTGCTAAAAATTGTATTTAAAATTAGAAGAATATCCTCATCGTAAAAACATAATATACATATTATGTTGTATTTTGTCATAGACACCAATAAAGATAGAGACAACCCTCTGACGAGCTAAGAAATGAATTTTCAAACATAAAGTTTATGCTCATTTGGAAAGCAAGTTATTACTTGCTTTTCAAATAGCTATAAAGCTCCTAGTAATTATATTTAGGTTCAATATGAGGTTATAGATCATTATGGAGATGTATATCCACATCAGAATTTTATTATAATAGGAGATTGTCATAAGAATTTTCTCCACTTAAATCGTATCTTTATCAACAAATACAGTAAATCAAGGTGGCATATACCAAGTTAAAACTTTTTAATAGGTTAAACTAAATAGTTCCGTAGAAGTCATACTAATATTAATATTAAAAAGACTTGAACAGCATTTCACCAAGAAGCAGGAGAAACTTTAAGAGCGTGCCAACCCTACAACATATGGAACAGATTGTGTGAAAAAGTGTCAATTACCTACATGTCATATAAACATTAAATGTAAAAGAACCTCAATAATCATCATTATATGGATTTTGTGACTTTATTTTTAACTAAATTAAATTTACGCAAATTTGATCAGAATAAGTAGTGATTAACGTTTCAACGTTGGTATAATTGACCGTTATACTCTAATTAATCCATTATTATTATCAATCATCGGCACTATCAGCGTATATCATTACTGCGTCATTTAGCCCGGGTATGAGTAACCGGTGCCGTGCCGTCTGCGCGCCACCGCGTTACGCGCAAACCTGTTTCGGCCAGTCGCCGATGTGAGCTGTATGGAATTTACGCACTAGCGTCAGACACTTTGTTTGGAATTTCGCGCGATGTATCTCAGCTTAATCTATTAGTATATCAGACTTTTTTGTACGTTCTACTTAATGTGATGGTTATCGGATATCGTCCTGGAACTCCTAGTTTAACTTCTTAACAAGTTTGCCAAACATCATCATCAAAATCATGTTATTATCGAGTCATGTTTTAATCTTAGTAATCTATCTTACCGGCGATTATGATTAATACCGGACATATCTCGATAGTTTTATTAAACATGATTCTACTTATTATGTGTATTCACCACGCATTTCATCTCTCTGAATTATCTGTTTAGATCCATGGAACTGTCCCTTCCTATTCTGTCAAGAGCAGGTGCTTGCCAATCGATTAATGTTCATCGATTGTCAATTCCGAATCTTAAGCGACGTCACCTACTTCATATCGAAAATACGTCTATACATTTGCCTACAATTTTTTAATTAAATTGATTCAGTTTAGATTTATACATTCAATCAACTAACCAGCTTTAGAATCATGGATTGGAAGAAAAATATTTAGAATCTCAAGCTAGTGTTCTTAGAAACATTGACATGACTCGTCAAACAGTTAGGCGATATTTCACAACATTATATTCATTGTCTATGATTAAACTGGGTTTCCCGAGCTTCTGAGTTACTCGTTTAGAAACCAGTTTTACTGCATTTACGGTTGTGATAAGTTTAATAGGATATATTCTGTACTTAGAATGTATGTTAAATTGAAATGAGAATTATTTGTACATCCATTACCTTTATAATAAAATTATATTGATATAAATGTTTCTTACGTCTAAATAATAGACATGTCATTATGTATAGGTATTTATATATTTGTACGTGTTTAAATATCAGTCATTTGACAATGTCAATATATTTTTAATAACATAAGCAGCACTTTAGCAACGGCTGATAATGGCAGCTGTTTGTTAATAGTTAATATCTGGGATCTTATTCCTTTTTAAATAAGCAATTTGCGTTACGTAAATACTTCAACATGTTCAATAAAGCAACAAAAAACTTATTAATCAATCATTTATTTATCATTGTATGACACAATGTAATAGCATACATACATACAAAATAATATATTCAAAGATATTATTTTTTACATCTAATTCTATATCCAAAATATGGCTAATGACGGGGCTGGACCCTGTCTTTTTATTGGCACATGGAATATTTTTTTACCAAATCTAGAAATATTTATAATAAATTTATTAAAGCATAATGAATCAAGCAATTTATGTCAATGTCTCGTAATACGTCGTAATATATAATGTTATTTATATATCGTGTATAAAGACAGCGAATATTTAAATACATAAAGATGAAAAGATTTAAAACAATCTTACAAGTATTTCGCTTGCACGAAATATTGCAAAATTTTAAATAGGCCTGAACGACATGTACCTATATATTAAATGGAACTTCATCTTTTATCAACACACTTGATTTACCAAAATGTTTGCCAGAAATTAAATTGTTCTTGTTTCCAACTTTTATTGTCATAAAAATTGAGATCACTTAACCATATTAAGTAGAACTAACAAAACTATAACTAAACGCGATCGCTGTCTTGGTGAACGAATATGCGTCAATATAAAAAGCGTTAATAGTGATAATTAAAATATTCCAAAACATCATTTTTACAATTAAATTCATGGTTTATTTGAGAGGCTATTACTAAAATACTGTTTAACTATATTAGTCTATGGAACAGCTGTATTTGAACCGTTTTGTTCTCAACAATATATTTATTTAGAAAAAAAACGGTAAATATTCAGTTTAGATTAGTTTTATCTGAAATCTTATTCACGGTAATTATTTTCTTTACATAGAGTTCAATGTAATAAACCATGATTCAATCATTTCTTATCCAACCTTAATTTCCATCTGTCTAGATATTAGGAACAACCCTCATAATATACATTATATTAAGCAATAAATGGAATGTTAAAAATTAATATTAGTTAAAATAAATATAACGTAATACGGTATAATCATTTTGTCAAATACATCAAGCGTTTTAAAATTATTATGATGATTTTCAAGAACTGTCTGTATTTCAAAACTATTTTGTAAGCACCTTTTGCAGTTTTGCTCACAAAATACTCTTAAAAATATTTGAATATACGTCCTACGCATTAGAAGTTTAATAACAATATTTTTTTAAATATAATATAAATATTATTTTACATTAAAATAGGTATATCTAAGCAGTTAAGTTGTAAATGCTACCATCACTTATCCTAATAAATACTATTTACAGAATCACCAGAATGTTAAGGTTTGACAAAATATGGAATTTATTGATTTATATAAATTTAAGCAATATTTTTTGTTATAAACACAGAAAGATTTTATCGGCACTTAATTATTTTTAAAAGAATTTTTCAAAGACATTAATATTGAAATTAAATTTAAATTATTAGAAAGAATATAAGAAAAACAAAAATGGCCGATTATACTTGCTATATCACAAAATTGCAGTAAAAAATGCAGGACGAATTTCAATATTGAAAAAAGGTTATCAAAAGATTGCAATATCCCATTCTGGCGGTGTTACTGACGAAGCACGAATACTGTTATGTAAAGTGAACCCTCTGGTGTTACGGGCGTTGATGACGTCATGAGTCCTCGTGACGCGATCACCATCGTAAGTACATGGTCTCCTTGTTAGGGTTGTAATGCATTTCTCTGTAACAAAATTATTTAGTTAAAAAAATACAAACAAAAAAATATTTACCATCCCTGTTTTATTTGTGTATACCCGGTTAATTTGATATTCAAATGCTTGTAGGGTTATCACTAACACGATCATTTGTTATTTATTTTTCTCTTTAATAAGTGCGGTCCTCATTATGATTGTAGGATCTGAATAGTAGGAAGTCTTGAAGAGTCCTGATGAAGATAACTAAAATGCATTCTTACTCTATTTGTGTATGAGAGACCGCTGTAGTAGGATCGTGCTTCCATCACCTTCACCGCCACAAGCATTGACTACATCTACAACAATTAAGAAAAAAACATGTTAATATAAAAACATTTCAAAAATATTAGATCACTCACGTTACCACCAACCAAATTTACCTAAGTTTATTTCTCGAAGAAATATTGTTTTTAATTTTATTATTATTTCGTCAAAAACCAAAGTTAGTACCTAATTTATTAAAAAAGTGCATTTTAATTTATAGTACAATGTGCTTAAAAAGTATTTTAATATTATGTTAAGGATTTGGTTATTATTAAGATTGTGAGTTTAGTCCTAGTTGACATCCTTAACCCAAAATTACAGATTTTACTATATATAAAACTTGGGTTTTCCTTAAAATATTAACATTGAAATATCATAAAGTACCGTTAATACCGTTAGCAAAATCCAGAAAAATACAATCATAATCTTTTATACACCGACATTGTCTACTGTTTTGAGAAATTACTGAAACACAGTCTTACAATACTTAAATGTGATTAGACTTTGGTCCCGAAAAACCTCTATTCGGTTTCGACATCATTACATTTTTTTTACTTTCCGCAACAAAGGAGTTTACATCTAAAAGGATTAAAGTCAATGATTGACAACTTATTCTTTTAAATTAAAAATAAACTTAAGTCAAAAGCTGCAAAAACAATTAACAATGCTATACACGTGTTCCTTTTTAATTTACCTGATCGAATTACTTAGACGAATTTGTAGTATATTTTGTAAGACAAATAGATAGTATTTAACATTAACATAACAGTATACGCAATGTGTGGCTTTCCATATAAATCGAATTTCTTTTGGTTTAAATTCATAATACATATACAACATACAAATAATAATAACCTTACACATATCTGTCTCATGAAGTTATAAGTAGACAAATCTGAAGTTGGGTGTCAAACCAAACTACTAACTCCTCTAATCTAAAGATATAATCACTAAATACCTTTGCGAAATAATTTTTCCCACTAAGCCTTAACAGAATTGAGCCTGTGCGCAGTTTATATACCCTAATATTATCGGCTGGGACAAAATAACTATAGGTATATTTAAACGTAGGAACTTGGCGTACTCCCAAAAAAATGAACGGCGTATAAAAATAATTATTAGAAGCGTATGTGTCGTCGATTCATCAGGTTAATTATGCGGTGTCGTGATGGAGATATCAAAGTGTCCGTGAACTCAGTATCAGGTGTTCAAATGTTTTATTCTCTTTATACATAACAACCTCAACATTTTTTATTTATTTAATAAACACCCGAAACAGACGCGGAAACAAATTATTTGTCATTAACTTTTGGATCCTTGATCATTAATTCGTGGTGATAAAAGGCAAAATACACGGTTGGTTTGGTAAACAGTTTCTGGTTTTGGAAATCAAAAAACAATTGAAGTTAACATAATTGTGGGCAAAGATTTAATAAAAGACTTTGCAAGTCCTGTACTTAAAATATAAAAATTCTATTTTTAAAAGTTAGTTTTCAGACAAAGATTTTGATTAAAAAAAGAAACATCAAAGCATACAAAAGATACATTCCGATTGCAATAGTTAGCTAATAGTTCTTCACGTGTTTCTGCACCAGTGTCTAGATCTCGATACAAAGCAAAAGGGCGCGGGTGACGGCCAACGCGGCATTTTATCCACTTCCGTACGATACACTAGGTTAGTTCGTGATTGCACACCCTGTATGTGCGACTGTGGGAACTAAACGACTTTGTCCCCATATACAGGCTGTTGGTAGTTCCGTCATCAAACTAGTTATTCACTTTTAATGACAATGTAAAGTTTTCTTCTAATTGTTGTATAATATCTTATCAATTTAAAAATACCATCACAATAATTTAAATGTATTAAACAGAATGTTATAAATTGGCCAGAATGTCTCGTATACTCGGCTTTGTCTCGTTCGATAAATATTTTTAATGTATCGGAAGCAATATATATTATCCGCTATGCAAAAGTACCTAAAGAGTCAGTACGTTACAGATTTGTAAGAGAAAAAAACCCATATGGACTCTTTTTTTTAAATTTAAAATACTCGTTAATAGTAATTTTAACGATTACATTGCAGTATCATCATCAACCTCTAACAGTCAACAGTCACAGTAAAAGGAGGTCTGCAGTATACCTTAATATAAACTTAGTCAAAAATTAACCAACACTCTGTATTTGAGTAGGATTTCTCAAAGGGTGCCTAATTAACCGCATTGCCACCTAGCCACTTAGGATCGGACGCGCGAACAATTGTGTACCGAACCAACCCGTTGATATCGGCCACATCTGAATACCCACTTAAAGTTGTAGATCCATTTGTGATATTAAGACTAACTGTTTTATAGGTTTCTTACTCGTAAATAGAATTGTTTTCCAATTTTGGATTTAGAATTTGGAATTACTGGCAAAAACAGTTCAGAAAAAGTTTTAACTACTGATCGATCATTATCAATTTTAAGGTGATTGAGACATACACGGTGCACATAAATATTAAAAATATAAAGTTAAAGCAAGAGAAGATTTGCCCCCCGTATTTCGTTCCTGTTGCATTCAATAAATTATAAAGAAAAATATCTGCATTACACTTTATGGATTAGCTCAAAATATTATTCAGGATCACCACACATCGAAACACTGTCGCTTATGGTGCATGCCCGACTCGCAGTTATTAGCACTATAGCGCGCGAATAATAAATAGTTAATATTTATAGAATAAGAATAAGTGGTTTCCTAATATCCTTTTTGTTTATTTCAAGCGATATTAATACTTGACTGGCCTGTTGGTCTAGTGGTTAGTGACCCTGACTGTTACACCAGAGGTCGTGGGTTCGATTCCCACCCAGGACAAATAATTGTGTGATGAGCACGGTAATTTGTTCTGTGTCTGGGTGTACTTTATCTATAATATGTAAGTATTTAGAAATTATTGACTAAAAGCAAATACATATAATTCTTGAGAAAATATAAAACATCTAACAGATAAAAATATACATTATTTTCATGCCCGAAGCTGTTTGTATAGAAATAATCGATGTGTCAACTCGATTGCTTCGAGTCGTGAATCCAATGGATCGACCTATGGAGCGATGGGAGAGATAAGAGCCTCGCTGGTGTGCACCGATGACCTAAACCACTAACTATATGGGACATCGCACTCTCGATTCCACTTAGAATCGTAATTAAGCAAGATGTATTGTTTTAGTTAGATTAATGAACGATGTATCGCAGGCGTGTTTAATTGGGAAAGCTGCGATAATTAATGGCATTGGAGTTGATAGTCTGTACAATTTATGCCAAACCCTTTTGACATTTTAATAGAAGCAACAAACTAACGTTACCTTAAATAAATTGTCCATACTTTGAGTGATTGTTAAGTTTAGTATGGCAATTTCAATATTACCTTCCGAAATTAAAAACGCATGTCTACAAGTACCTATATGATTATTTAGGATTGTCTTTCATTTTAATCGTACCTACTAAGATCCGGCTAAGGTAGTCTAACCATCTATTGTTTTAATCATAAATATTCAAAAAAGTACTCATTCCTTTTAAAAAAAAAAACAACGAAGTTCTCTCGTTAAATGTGTTTCAAAATGCATAGTTTTAAAGTTATTTTATGCCACCCTTCTTAACATAGTTGATTTTTTTTTTAATGTGGCCATGGACATAATTTAAAATTCTATATACACACGTAGGTATCTTAATAAACTTTATGACGGGTACAGACGTGTACCATTAACAAAACAATCAGTAGCGGTATAGTCGCCAGGGGCGCTCACGTCTTTACCCTCAGTTCCGACACACAGTTCACACGATCCCTCATTATCCACATATCATCTTGGTGTAACGTAATCTATGATGAGGAAGTCTTTTCATCGCTGTGGCAAATGTTTTACGCCATTAAGATGTATTGAGAAGGATTGAGAAGTTTTCCACATACATTTAAAAACCGGATAATGGATGAATAGCGATATAATTGTTACCTATTTGATACAAAATAAATTATTATTAAATAAGCATTCATATGATGTTATCTACTTTAAGACACATTTACGTTAAAAATAAAATATATTTCGGTTTGTGGGTTATGACGACAGAGGCTTAACATACGTAAACCCGGATCAGAATGAAAAGTATAACAATCAAAGATGAATTTAGTTCAATGTCAAAAGTCAGTCTATGGCAAATTTAATAATCGAAATGACTACTGTATTTTCTGATGGTGGTATTCTAGTACAGTTTTCAGAATAACAGCAAGTATCCTGCGCTTTATGTTTATACTGAGACAACTGTTGTAGCACAAAAAACGAAAATCACCCAAACCTAGAATCGGAAAATTGCCGTAATCACTTACTGTTACGTTACGCATTGTTGTGCCATGTACGGGAGAGCATAAACTGCAAATTATACTGCACAAGTCACGTGTGGTTCATTGTAGAGGCTACCGTCCGCGTTCGCACAGTTTCGGAAGCATTAGGGCCCATTAAGCACCGTTAACACACGAGCTCGTCACGATCACGACTCACGCAGCAAGAAGCATCTATCGCCGATCTTGGTAGCCCACCACGGCTTGAGCAGATTCACACGGAGTAAACGCGTGTGCTGCTGTTCTAGAATTTTATTACACACGACAATTCGTGTATTTGTACTCTTTGGATTAAATAGAGATGTACAAATACTAGTTTTAGCTAAGAGAAGATTGGAAAGTAAGCTTATTGCGCTCTGTAACAGTGACCACCGGTCACTTCTTAGCCAAAAGGCAGTTGCAGACTCTCATAAAAGAAGTGGTTCTATTTAATCTTCTACCAAAGAGTGTAGAAATCAGAACGTGAGGTTACTTACAGAGTTTTTATTTTATTATTTTATCTTCAAATGTACAACCACCAAAGGTAATTATAGATTTGTTTGTATATGCTTTCATGTACACTCCCCGTACATCTGATATTACTACGTTTATTTATAGTTTCTTTTCAGTTAGTGAGACAGAAAAATAGAGATTGGAAATAATCTCAGAGTAAGAAATAGGAAAAAATAGATTGTTATTTTATTTCAGAAACTTTTGCTAATTGATATCACTGTTTGAATTTAAAAATAAATACCAATAAGTCAGAAAATATTGCACAACTTGAGTGAGTTTACCACTTTCTCTTCTATTTATAATATTTGTGGCATGAATATAAAATTCCCTACATATTAGAAACGATTATTTTCCTTCAACTTTCCTACATACACTGTCAGAGATAATGTTGGCACAGGTCGCGACCTTATCAAGGTAATGCTACCGTCACATTGTATGGTAATTACATAGGTATGACAACCAAGGAATGTCGTTCAAATGACATGCGAATGTATTAAGGTGTTAATGAACTTCATCTAAATTATATTGACAGTTGATAAGTTAAGAGGATTTGGCTTGCGCAGGCTTTACGTGACGTAATTATTCATTACTCTGATGTCATAATTATTCTCATACGTTTTAGAAGTTCCTTTACTAGATGTTGGCTATAAATGAACCACCATTGATATGACCAACCCGAAAATGGCACTTTAATACTTAATATTACGTCAGAGAATGGGTATTTTCAACACTCAGATAATATTGCACCTCAGTCTTTATTGTAACCAATTTTCCTTGTTAGAATTTATAGATTATCTTAAATTTACCTAAATAGCCGAGATCAGTTGTTTTCAAACATAATTTACAAATATTTCAGCTCAAATAAATATTAAGCCGATCTAGACGTAACTATTTTTTTTAAATCTTATAAATAAAGTTTGTCCGTCTGTTTGATTGTACAAAAAGAAACTGAATCAATTGCAATATATTTGGTAAAAAGGTGAAACACATCCTTCAGAAGAAACAAACCTTAACATTGCGAGGAAAGAATCAGTGCAAGCGCTGAAATAATGTTACTTTTCATAGTTTTTAGAAACGATAACGAATTTTGCTGTTTATTTCGAGAAAATATCTAAAAGAAAACATAATATTTAGTTATGTTTTCTTTTAGATAGTATACCAAACAGTTTATTAAAACAATTACAGTTACCTCTGTCGAGATTAGTTTTTAGAATGATTAAAACATATATTTAATATGTACAGAATAGTAGCCATATTTATATTAGCAACTGCTATAACTACAAACATTATCTAGAATGGTATTTAATAAAACAGTTTTAAATAAATAAAGATGTAAGATCTTACAACACAAATACTCGTAGAAGGCAGATAAACGTATTAACTTGTCTACAGTTTATAACGCAATGGCTCAATGTCAACGCGTTTATGGCCATCCCAGTCTTATTACATTGATGATACCTTAATTAAGATTTATCTGCTACCATTTTATAAGCCTTTGAATAGCTTATTTTTGGTAATACTTTAACTGAGAACGAAATTAAAACAATTATAGATATAACATTGACATAGGTCGAAAATCGATCGAAGTGGCGTGCAATAGGAGAGGCCTATGTCCAGCAGTGGACTGCGATAGGTTTATGATGATACACACATATATCATCACAGTGAATTCACACACCCTTTCATTACGCACAATATTAAAGGATATGTGTAAAATGTGTGTATAAAAAATCATTACTAAATTTATATGACCAGGGAGAGTAAATATAAAGACTTGAAAGGAGCCTACTAGAGTCAACGGCGCACCATTTTAGAGGTTTTAAGTACTGAAAAGGCGGGAGTAACTTTATTAATGTTTCGACAAACTCTGACACCGGTTCATCATCATGGTACTTGTGTGTAAAAGCGCCAGCCCATAAGGGCATTATTTTTGTCTACAGAATTTCGATAATTATGTCTATTATTTTGCTCTAAACCCTTATTATCTTTCCAAAATAATAATTGCTTAGTTACTCCTTATAGAATCAGTTATCTATTAGTGAAAGTCGACTGAATCTCAATTGACCCGTACCTAAGAATACATAGAAATTTATACAGATAAGCGGACAAAAAGTTTTATATTGATTTATAGATATAGGGATCCTGTAAGTAACATTCAGATTTGCAAAAGAAACGGCGAGTAACAAGCTTCAACTTCAAGTGTTTGTATAGATGTACGTACCTAAGTATTCCGATTATTGCTTTGTATAATTAATATTAAGTAGAATATTAGAACTTGTAAATTATATAACTTCACCGGGATATAGTATAGTTGGTATTTTAGTTAAAGAACTAGGTATTCTTCTATTTTTTTCTTTTTGTTTCTTTTAAGGACAACTCCTGCACTAGTAACAAATATTTGCTGGGCTGTGGGGGACTTTAAAAATATACATAAACTCACACAAAGAACACCCAGACTCAGAACAACAAGTTGTGGATCACACAAAGTCTTGTGCCATGTAGGGATCGAACCCACGACACTCAGCGTAGTAGAATGCGGCGAGGTGACCGCTTAAACCACTACGTTACCCGCGCAATCAATATAACAACGATCTGAATTGCATTTTTTAATTAATTTCTGATTATCAGATGAGAATGTAAATATTTGGTCGGTTTTTTTATACATCATATTGCGTAAAACCAGGATACTACCTCAACATAAATTGTCGACATCAGTTGTTTATTTGACTCATAATTTCACACAGCCTGAGTATATGGTAACAGTAACAGTAGTACAGTATACACATGCTTGTATGCCTTTCTGATATCTTGGACCCTAATAGTTACTGATAGACACGCCACAACCTTGTGACACCTGACCGCCTCGATAGCACGCATAAACCACGAGGAGGTAAGTAGGTAGGTGACACCACACATTATAAAATGTTAGGAAGTTCTTATGAGGTAGTTACAGATAAATACCGGCTATTTATCAAAGATTAATTTCATCATGTATGATCATTATTATTTTGTTCTTTGAGTAATTAAAAAAAAAAAGAAGACAACCACCTTTCACTGATATTCATTAAGAATAAAAAAAAATTGCATGTAATAACAGATAGACATTTAAAATATGTATGTACTTCATCAAAATTCAATAGTCAAAAAGGAAATTAACAATTTAGTTAGTAGACAGGTACCTACCTACCTGTTACAATAAATAACATATTATTTACAAGAAAATTAATTCTTAATCATTCATATTTTATTATTAACATTTTCATTGATTCCTCTCATTTTGAAATGAAATTGTACATGTTTTAACTGTACTGAAATACTGTTTAGAGCTATTATTAGAATCCAATAACCGCCAATTAATAATTTCTAGTTTTAATTTTAAATAATATTAGGGAAATTAATTAATTAATTTAACTTCAGATCTAAATTAATTAGATATTAGTTGTATAGTAATACTTTTTACTAAACATTTGTCACTAAGATGTAGTCTTTGTCCATAATATTACCGAACACTAATCATCTAACATTTAAATTTAAAAAGTAAATTAAAGAAAAGTGTATTAGCTTCTTTTCAATTTAATTAAATTCCCATAAAAGTATTTGGAGATTGGTTTTGCATTAATTTTAGAAGAAAGCTAACATTTGTTTCCACTCACCTGTGCTGGCGGAGATTGTCCTGTCTCTTAAAACTCTTCCCGCACACTTCACAGCTGAACGACAGCTCTGGCGACTTATGGGTGCGTTCGTGGATCATCAGGTTGTAAGACTTCGTGAATCGACGTTGGCAGTACTTGCACACGAACTCGCATTTTGGGCGCAGTTTGCGTCTGAAATCCCGTGTGTGGTCCTCGTCAATTTGCATCACGGCGAACATTTTGTCTGGTCTAAGATGTGATGCTTACGACGGGCGGGGCTTGAACGCCTGTACAATGATAAGTTATCAAATGTCGAGTGCGCACGATATGTGGCTGTATCACTGTTCGTATAGAGTTCTGTTTTGAGTGACGTGTGTGTATTGATAACGGTGTGTGTAGAGTATATTGTTGTCTTGACGAATTTATGTTTTATCTTTGTTTACTGTGTGGGTGTAAGGAGGATAAGTAATCCCTAATGTTTAAGTCCCGTCATTGACCGCCGTATGAATTGTGAAATAATTTTCAAAAAAAAGTGCCCGAATAAAGATGAGGGTATCTTATCATTGTTAAATATCACACATCACAAAGATCTCAGTATAAATATTAAATCGAAACACAATTTCTAATAATAACACATCAATTTAACATATTTAATACTCATATAAACAAAGTAATAACAAGCTACATAGTTATATTACACAGGTATAAAATGGTTACCCAACAAAAGTAACCTTTTATAAGGTACACATCACGAATAATTTATTATATTAGAGTTGGACATAATGGCACCTTTATGAATTATTAAAATACGCACCTTTAATATCGATTGCCCACGAAGAAGGTATTAAGCTTTACAAGCTTAAATTGACACTTTCACTTGAACGTATAATTAAATTAAAATGAAACTTATACTTTGGACTTAAGACTTAGAAGTGAATGACATAATTTGATTTCGGGCGAACGTTGAACGCGGATTTAAAGTGACTAGATATGTCAATGTGCGGTGACAGTGCGACGTGCGACCATGAGCGGGTGTGTTTAGCAACTGCCGCTGCGCGAGGGTGCGGAAACTACTGATAGCGTTACGCGGAAGGCGCGCGCGCAGCCCCCACCACGTGCGCGCCTGTGAATGAACAGGTAGCGCTACGGTAACCTGATGGTTCAGGAAAACTCTACAGATTTATAAACTTTTGTCATTTAACTGTACAATGTATTGAATATGTATGAATCACATTTATTGAAGTGCTAGGAAATTATATTTAGTTTCTACAGCTCAGTTCAAATTTGAAAATCTAAAGTCTCTTCATAGAAACTTTATATAAAATATTTTGTTTTTACGTTAAAGTTACAAGACAGCGTCTACGTATTTACGAAACAATATGAACGTAAAGAAGTTGGTGGGAAAGCTTGCGGTGGCTCGCGGCGCTACTGGTGATTTCACTCACGATACACACGATCCCAGCTATTTGGGCACCGGTACTGTTTACCGGTAAATTGGTGATGATTTTCGGCTTCTGTCATTACTGCGCCTTCGGGCGCTCTGTACTTTCTAGTTACCGTAGCTCCGTGTAATCACTCGACTTTTGCCGCTTTAATTCGATTTTTAAAATTATGAAGTATTAATTAATTTGTGATTAAGCTTTTAGTGTGTAATATGTTTACTTATTTTGGAACAAAAGACTCGCGTTCATAGGAAATAGCGGAAGAGAAATTTTATAAATATATAATATATCGTATATTTTTCCTATAAAGTATCTGCACTGAATTAACTGAAGGTGCCGACAAACTGCAAACGGTCCATTAAGTTGAGATAACAGTGAAATTACGACAGACATCTTTCAGTCATCTGCGCGGTTACTTGAAAACGCATTTCATTCAAAATACACGGCGATTTTCACACAATATTCAAATTTCGCGTGTTAAAGGAGCTATAAAATTTAATTCTTGGTACAGGCGTGAAGCGGCACTTATGAGCCGTTTTATAGCTATGTAACTCCATTCAAATTATCTCGAGGCTCGTATACCTATGGCTTGAAGTTTTAAACTAAACTTTAATGAGTATTCATAGTTAAATTTACAGTATGACTGAACATAAGTGTCTGCTGATTAGTATTGAATGGTTTTATTTTTACTTTTTGTGATTACCTGACTTGGGTAACAGAAACTTCAGAACCGACTTCAATATGTGATGAATAATAACATGGTTTATTTGTGCCAAGAAAATAGATATAATAGATATTAATGAATGGTGTAGTGTATTGTTTATGGGACAAAGAGTCTTATTATAAGCGCCTATTAACTCTTTTGAAGGCTGGAACTATCCCTAAAACAAAGTAATAGGTATTTTACTGGTTTTCATAAATGAATATAAATTGTGAAAACTAGAGAGACTTTGGCTAATACATGGGCAGTCATTGTTTCTTATACAACGATAGATTTAGGCCACTTTCCTAGATATATATATATATATACATATATATATATATATATATATATGTATATATATATATATATATATATATTATTTAACGATAAGAAAATAATTTCAAGCATGACTAGATAATATTAACTTAGAAAGATTTTTAAGTGTGTATTATACTATGTATTAACCTAAAGTAGAAAGGTAGTATAGTAAAACATCACCTTATACATAAGCAGTAAAATATTAACTAAATTAAGATCTGTACGATTCATCCCATGCCATCCTAAAAGTAACGAAATATTTAAAACAGTCTTTGCAAAAACATGGTAAACAGGTTTATTCAACCAGTATTCCGACATAAGTATTATATAAATATAAATACCCTATATATGTATATTTGTATAGGTATGTGCATACAAACTATAAAAAGTCTTAAGAATACTTCAAACGCTTTGTTGTCATCAAAGCGAAGAAGAAACCGCGAAGTCTTACAAAAAGCCTAGCTGGAACAAAAAACCATGTACATCTACCTAAAACTATAAAAAGTTGCATTAAAAAGACCGCCGTTGCATAACCTTCTACACACATTTAATTGTCCTTACAGCATAAACAGAGTCACGACTAGTCGTCAAACAGAGGCGCCCGCAAAAAAATCGCAAATCGCGGTGATCTTTTAAATTTAGTTCACATATTTTATTCCCTATATGGTCTTATTTCTACATTTCGGATAAACATCTCACGCCTTGAGAATGTTGTCGTAAAAACCATTGTCGGGGTATCGTTACAGTCCAAGCAGTCACGGTTTAAGTTCAAAGGTTTTATTAGTCGCAACGCGTAAGCGATTTGTCTGCCGGTCTGTCTATGAATTTAAACTAAGTTAAAATACGTAGACAAACCTAGGTTTTTTATCGGTTTCGATGTTACGTTTATGAATACAATACTTATCTAATCACTTTAAAAAAAAAACTTTTTTTTTCCAGATACGGTTTTTGAAAGGTACAATGGAGAAATGACGAGAGTGTGGATCTACATAATTAAATAGTTTTTTGGAGTTACGGTAAAACAGTCAGGCATAGGTATGGTGGTCTTTGGCCATATGGAGACATAAGGGAATCCCGTCACCCGATCAGAAAATCGAAACTCCATTTCGTAATCATGCTTTATGAGAGGAGAAGAAGGTTTCATTTTCCTTTGAGTTATTCATATCCAATCATACTGATCTTATAATTTCAACTGAGCTTAAATAAAACTGTTTTTTTTTAATATGAATGATTTAACGAAATATATTTAGAGCAGAATTGATACAGATTGTGGTAAAGACTAAATGAAGTATTATTCAATGACAGTTTTAATTAAAGTTTTACAACGGTGTTCTCAATTAAGTACGAAAGACGTGAGATTAGCTAGATTATAGAATTGCAATACTACACTAATTAGATCTCAAGATCAACCACCAATACCGTGTTGAATTGAAGGTAAAATAACCGATTTATATTTAAAGACCTACCAATATTGCTACCATGTTTTTGTCTGCACGATACCTATCAAATTATGCTTTTGCCGATATATCTATTTATTTCTTTCGACATATACATATCATCTTCCTTATTGCTTACTTCTTCTGCTTTGCTTCTTTTTCTTAAATAAAGTCTTTCTTCGTAAAAGAGTTAAGTGCCACTATATCAGGTAGCATATTTCATAACTTATAATATCTTATAATTGTATATCATTAATCTTTTAATGATATACAATTAAGGAAATGTTAGAAATTGTATTTTTACGAAGTGTATGAATGTATCTGCAATCACCAAAGTGGTTAGTTTAATATTATAGCTTTAATGTTAAGATCAATAAGACATGATTAAATTAGGATTCCTTTAACGATTTAAATTATAGTTATTACGTAGTTACACCTAACTGTAAAATTGATTATTAATATTCCTTAAATTACGAGGAGTATTATACAAATGAATGGTTTGACATTATGTCGCATTCAGGCTAATATTATTTGTCTTATCTAGAACAATACTAAGTATTAAATAAGATCATTACATTATTCTTTTGAGGGATATCAGTGCCTGAGTGACTTTTCTGTTCACATACAGACATACTATATCTAATATTGTGAACAGTAAATCCTAAGTCTAAGATCCTAGCTCTATCCGTTTTTCTTGCCCCAATTTTTTTTTTTTTTTTTTTTTTTCATGAACGAATGCGAAAACATTTCCAAGGAAAGTTGACGTCAAGAAGCCGATAGCCATAAAAGAAAAAAGGCAAAGCCAACCTCAAACAAAATTGAGAAACGGGAAGAAAGATATTGATGATATGTCTTGAGTGCATTTTTCCTCCAGGATATATAATTGTGGAACGCGTCATATAATATGTATAGGCTCTGCTTACAATACAAGCGCGGTAACGCAATCCGAGTATATGTTATAGAGTATTAAAATAATCATAAAGTATGTCATCAGTTCATTATATTATCTATATTTTGCTTATGCAAAATACGTTCAAACGGATCTAAAGATGAGTCATATACCAAATGGTCATAGGCCTCTGGTTCATCTTAAACTCGTCTGATGATTCAGATTCCGGTACTTCCTTGAACTATTGACATTTCGCCCGTATGTGTTAATACGAAGACTGTCTGTCTCCTTTCAAGTAATTAGGAAACACGAGGCAGCCTTAAATCTCTAGATTGACATTTGATTTATAATAATGTCTGTTATCAGCACGGGTTGTCAACGACTGCAAATTAAAAGTAACTTGCTTTGATTCCCGGGTCACCGAAGTGAGTTTTTCTATATGTGTCAACGAAATCCATAGTTAATTGAAGTCCCGAAGCGTTTTTTTACGTAAACTACA